CGACTTGCCGTCAAGTGCTAAAAGACATTAAAAGTTTAGTTTTTCAATTTTTTGCCGATATTACTTTGAACGATGGAGATTTATTAGGTTCAATTCACGAAAATATGAAATGCTCAGTAGATGTATTTGAGTTATCGTAATCGTGGACACGCTTGTGAGTGGTCTTAGCAGTTAGCAAAAATGCCTTCTCCAATAAAATGAGAAAAATATATATTAAAAATATTAATTTTTGAAGTACTCATACTCACCTCCGTGTGTGTTATATTTTACGCCAAAAAAAAGAGTGTTGAAAGTCTGGAACATATGGAAATTTGAAAAAAGATGCGTAATGAAATCAATGCCCGAAAATATGACCGATGCACCACTTTTCCCACCTTTCTCCGCTTTATTTATAGCTTCATATTACCACTTCTGAACTGATTATATTTTCTCGTACGTTGCTCGCGCTATACACATAATATCTTTATGTATATATACATACATATGTAAATATGAATGTATCTGCGAAATTTCACTAAATTTTGCAAACTTTTTCGCTAAACACACGAATTCAGCTGCAAATTGCTAAATTACTGCTTCACACTTTGACAGCTTCGCAGTAAGGGGTGTTTCAGAGAAAATAAATTGATATGCTGGTATAGAACAGATGGATACAAGTTCCTGTAGATTATTAAAACTTTTAATTTTTTTAGTAAAATTATTTATTTAACTTAAGTTATAGCTAAACAATAACTAAATATATGTAAATATTGGGTTTTCTTTGAAAAAAATCTAGTGTTGGAAATAGTTTCAACTTAAATTAAAATTATTTTACAAAAATATAAATTTACTGAAAAACAGCAGTAAATAACATTAATAAATAAATTTTGTGTATACAAAAACTCACAAAAAAAAAAAAATATTGAACAGAAGTAGATTCATATTTTTGTCGAATTTATTGCATTATATTTTTCGAAAATCATTTAAACACTCACCATTTTTCGTCATACGTTTGCCAGTCGAAATATATATATATAAAAAAAAATATATATATATATATATACGCTTTCATTGAAATAAAATGTAGCAAATATGAAAGTTTGTGTATACTTTTTTTGCATATGTATGTATGTATGTATATACCCACTGACACAATTAATGGCAAAATTATGTGAAATATTGACACTGAAAATTGGCTCAAAGTAATGCGCATAAACAAATTTTTCAATTTATATTCAAGTACATATGCACATACATATATATATATATATATATATATATATATGTATATATATATGTGTTTGTACACATGTATGCCAGAAAATTCAAATTTTGCTTGCCGGCAAGCACAAAAACATGTACTTCATTCACTTAAACGTACATATTTGTATTTACATACGTACATATTTATAAACAAAATAACACGAACAGCTGGCCGCTTGACTGAATCGATTGACTTCGTTGTATGCCGAAAGTCAAAACAAGCAGAAATAAAATGATATCATACCGAAAGAATTTTCTACATACAACGCGCGCGCATTAACTGTACATGTGGATTTATTAGCAAAAAAAAAGTACGGTGGATTTGCAAAAAAAAAAAAATAAAATAAAAATATTTACATAAATACATGTGTGTAAATATATACGAGTATATATAATTTTGCAAATTGCTTGAGGCTAATTCCTTCTAAGCCGCTTAGTGACAGCTAAATGACAGCCATGAAACGTCATTCACGAATTTAGCCAATAAATATTGTCAACATCATCATCAGCTGTACATTTGTATGTATAAGAGCCCCTGTAAGTGTAGAAAGCGAATTTAAATTCGCAAATATTTAATAGCACAAAATTTTACTTTAATCAACACTTTGTTGTGTTGACCCGCTGGCGCAGGCAATTTGCGAACTTTGTAAAAAAAAAATGGGGAAAAAAATAAATAAAAATTATTTCAAATGCGCTGCTATTAAAAGCTGACTTCACTCAGTTATTCATTGTACCTTTATATACACAAGTACACATTTACACTTGTACAACAATGCAATAACAATAGCACCCGCACGCATGAGTTCACTCGGCCGCTGGTAGTGTAAATGCGCTTTAAAGCGTTGCCACTCGGACGCTGCATTTATATTATATTATTTAACTGCTGCGCATATTTTTACTCACTACATTGCAGCTAGAGCAGAGCGAGCAGCATGCACAAAAAATAAATAAAATTAAAAATAAAAATAAATAAATAAAGTAAATAAATATTACACTTTCCCGCCTGGTTGCCGCCATGCGCGCCGCTCGCAATTCCAAAGCGCACACGCTTCGCCCTGCAAATTCAACACCTCATCCCACTGGTGGGGTATTTTTAGCTTGAACATTTCAAAAATGCGACGCAATTGCAATTATTCTATTTGTATTCGCATTTATGTATTTGTTGTGTGCTAAGATGCGCCGAGCGTGCGATTTTTTTTTTCCTTTTTTTTATTTTTTTTTACTTTTATTCAATGTTTTCTTCCAACTTTTTTTTTTTTTTTTTTTTTTTTTTTTTTTTTTTTTACTTTTCACCTTAACTCGTAAGTAAGCTGCGCTTCACCGACACCGATGCCGCCTAAAGCGGGCTATGTGGAATGTGTGTGCGCTTTGCTGCGGCGTCAATTTAATTTACTGCAATCAAAGTTAGTTAATGAATGCGGTAAGTAGGCGTTCAAGTTAATGGGCGTTGATGAGTTATGTACTTCCGCTTAAGTAAATTTCTGGCGCACAATATGCCGCGTGCTCTTAGACCCATACATATGTGTACATGTGCGAAGTTTAAGTAACGGTTATAGTTTTGCTTTGTCGGCATTCATTTTTGACAAATTTGCGGTAACGGTTTTGATGCATTGCCTTCTAGTGGTGGTGGTGTGATTTATGGCTGTTTGATGAAAGGTTATTTCAGCATGAGGATTAGGAAGGTGCCAGGGAGGGCATGTTACTTATATGATAGTATCATAATTTAGTTTATTTATATATTCTGTGAATAATCCTGAAGCTGAAACCATCTTTGCTTGCCAATACTGCCGTCAACTTTGCATCATCAAAGTCAAGTTTTCAATTAGTTTTCTTTGCAATATTTTATTTATAAGAAATATTCTTTTTATTTAGATGAATGCTCATTTGCTCCCTAAATTTTACTTAACTATTTGTGTCAACAAACTGTAACATAGAACAGATATTTAAGTAGATTTGCTCATTTTTACATTTTCTTATTCCACTGCTGATTTTCAAAGAAAATGTTGGGTTATTTGAACACAATATCCATATCTAAATGGGAATGCTCTATCGGTTTATATTCTCACAAATTTTATTTTTATGAACTTGAGTCAGAAAACTTTAAAATCTTCGGAGAATTTAAAAATGATCAAGTTGTGATTTTTACTTTACGTTCTTATGCCACTTCTGATATTTTTTTAAATGTAGCTGCGCGGTTTCTAGTAACCTTTTGACAATACCTCACTAAGCCGCTATATCACCTTAATTCTTTTTGTGCCTTCTATTTAGGAGTATTTTTGAATATTTCTCTGGAATGTTACATAGAAAAACATATCTAATTGAATGGTACTTTCACCCTTTTCACGAAGCAAATGTTTAATCTGCACGGTCTGACACTTAGGGATTTTAGATATTTCTTTTTTTTATATAGTAGATAAATAGAAAAACCCAAGCTATTTATTCCACAGAATCAGCATGTATCTCTGTGCGTATGGCATTTTTATTTGTAAAATATAATATAAAGCTTATTATAGATATATATAGAAATACGAGCTGAGTTGATCTAGTCATGTGAGCCGGTCTGCCCATCTGTTTGAACACAAGCCTGTATCTCAGTTTTTGAAATAATTTAAGGAAAATCGCTATAAAGATGTATTTTTGGATATGCGATTATCATTTCTTGAAAGCAGCTCTATATCAAAGCTCCGATACAACTGATTGTAAAGGGTTGTTAATTTATGCCGTACTTCTACAAACTCAAGACCGATAAATTATGTAGTATAAATTAATCATCTGAATCGCACGTATATACGATAGTTTTTTAAAGTAGTTTGAATTTAACGAGGAATTTATATCATATTGTCACACAAATACAATGAAATAAAGCACTTATTAATATTCATGAAATGTATGTGTGATGGCTCTGGCATGACTAAAGGCACCACTCTTTTCGCTTATTTAATTTCTCAAAAATCTATTCCGGTAGATTACATTTTTCACTATCTTTGCTTATAAAACAATTTGAGCTATCTATATACACTATTTCACTAAATTTTCAAAATTGTTTCACCAAATTTACGACTGCAACTCCAAATTTGCTAAATTGCTGCTTCATGCTGCATGACAGTTCCCGGTAGTGGGTGCTTCAGAGAAAATAAAATTATACGCAAGTAAAGAACAGAATGTTGCAACTGCCTAAAAATTCTAAATGAATTATAAAGTTAGTATTAAATAAAATATTTTTAGCACAACTATTTCCTTATCATACAATAATTAAGAAAATAGTTCTTAACAATTAAATATAAAAGTAATAATATAAAATTTTTACCTTTTTAAAACTCTTAATTTAATTGTGCGCTTAATAAAAACTTAGCTTCTTCAAAATTTGCAACATCATACATACATACGAATATATATATGTTTATATGTTTGTAATTTAAGTACGCTCGCTATTCGTGATTCTGTGTCATCTCCACATATCTTAGCTAATTAAGTCAATCTCTCATGCTCCAGCGCTTGCAAATGTTTCATTGGTGCGCTAAATTGGCCTTTCAAAAAAAAAAAAAGAAAATAATAATAATAAAATAAAAATAAAACCGTAAATATAACGTACGAAATATTGTAATTTAAATGCGCTACACCTAACTTTTTGTAATTGTTGTTTTTGTTGCAATCGTTGTTATTGTGCTAGCTAGCCGCAGTAACAGTAGTTAGAGCATTTAGAATCAAGTTTCGCCTTTTTCTTCTTTCTACACACATTGTTGCGGCGGAATCAAGTTAGAAAGCAACGATTTTTTAGTTCGTGTTTAACCGCAATCGAAGGTGGTTCGGTCATTGAGGACATTTAAGGAATACGTGAATATTACGTGAATTTTATTAGAATTTTATACTCTTATTATAGTATAGAGTGACACTGAATTTGGTGTTGTTTAGTTTAGAAGAACTCGTAAAGAAATACGGAAATATTGTGAAAAATGGCTTTCAGCGGTTGTACGGGTAATAAAAATTAGTAGAAAATTAAAACAATTTTAAAACACTATAAAATGTAAAAAAAAACAGACAGACCTATACAAACAAATAAAAAAGTTAAAGAAAATCTAACAAAATTCTAATAAATAAAATGTGAATAAACAATTCAGTTATGTAAAAGAAAACATAATAAAATAAATTAAACTAAAACAAAAATTAATATATTAAAATAAAATAAAAAAAAAGAAATTAAATCAAAATAAAATAAAAAAAAATTAAATAAAATTATATAAAATAATAAAATATTATAAGATGAATGATATAAAATAAATAAGATAAAATAAATAAAATAAATAATATAAATAAAAAAAAAATAAAATAAAATAAATAAAATAAATACAAAAAATAAGATAAAATAAAACAAAATAAAATAAAATAAAATAAAATAAAATAAAATAAAATAAAATAAAATAAAATAAAATAAAATAAAATAAAATCTAACGAAATTTAAAAAGTGTGTGGGCTACAGAGAAAAGAAATTAATAAATAAGAGTATTAATAAGTATTAAAATTATTAAAATATTACAACTTGCATGAGTCTTTAAAAGTTTCTGAAAGTCTCAAGAATATTACTTCATATTTTATTTACTATTCTTTACTATTCAACCGATTACCGACTTTCGCAGCGCTGTCTCAAATGTTATTGATTTTTTTGTCATGCTTGTGAATTTTAAAATATGTGAAAGGTCATGTGTGCTATTTTGAATTGACGTCATCAACTCGAACGAGTTCCGCCTTTAATATTATTATAATTTTTTTTTAAGTTTTATGGGCTGAGATTTGAGTTTGATTAAACAGATCCAAATGTACTGAAAATTTTTATGCTTTAAAATTAATTAAAAACTCAAATTATATATATACAATAATACCTAATAATAGCATATACGTTAATATATTATATTATCATTAAAAAATTTAAAAAATATATAACAAAAATTATGTACATATTTACGAGTTTTGTAGTGGCTTGAATGATGAGTTTTTAGAGCTGCCATATTTTTGCATATACTTAGGATTTTTACTAGCATTTAGTCCTAGCTGGAGTGATTAATATATTTTAAACAAAAAACTAATTTTTCCGTATTTTTTATTTAATCTTTAGCATCCCTCAAGAGCTTGGGCGACAAGACTGCCAATCTTTTCAGCCGCAAGAAGGAAGATGTTGAAAAATTGGCCAAGGAGAAAGCTGATAATGCCGCAAAAATGGCTGAGGAGCAAGCTAAGGCAGTAGGACAATCCGTGCAACAGACCAAGAGCGAGGCGGAGAATTTGGCAGCCAGTGCTGGTGAGTAGTTGGGAGAGAGAAGTCGAGAGGGGGAGAAAAACATAATATAACTGAAAGAAAAATAAAAAATTAAAACAAAAATTAAAATTCTTATTAAAGATAAATCAAAATAAAAAAAAAATTAAATTAAAATGAAATAAAATTAAAATTAAAAAATTAAAATTAAAATTAAAATTAAAATTAAAATTAAAATTAAAATTAAAATTAAAGTTAGAATTAAAAAAATATTAAGATTAGAATTAAATTTAAAATGAAAATAAATATTAAAATCAATAGTAAAAATAAAACTTAATTTAAAATTAATATTAAAATAAAATTAAAATTGGAATTAAAATTAAAATTGATGTTAAGTTAAAATTATAAATTAAATTTAAATTTAAAATCACCTTTAAAACCTAAAATGAATTTAAAATTAAGGTTAAAGTTTTTGAAAATTAAAAACTTTATAAATTCATATCCCTTTATTTCACAGCTAAAGAAGCCGCTGATTTAGCTGCTGCCGAAGCACAAAAGGCCGGTCAAGCTGTAAACTCGGGTGTAAATCAAGCTCAAGCCGCTGTTGACAATTCGAAGCAAGCCATCGATAACACTGTACAACAAGCGAATGCTGCCGCTGCCAATGCCAAGCAAGTGGCCGCCAATGTGGCTGAGGCATCACAAAGGGTGAGTGGGGAGGAGGATATCATAAAAATACTTTATAAAAACATTAAATGTTTTTTTAAATTAAAATTTTGTAAAAAAAAAAAAAAAAATTTTCTCTTCCTTTCAGGCCGCTGCCAATGCCGTCGAACAAACTACGAAGGCTGCCAACGATGCCATCAACAAGAGCGTCAAAGCTGCCGAGCAGACAGTCGAGACAAAAATGAAGGAAGCCGAGCATGCCATCGATGGCGCTGTCAAGCAGACCAGCCAAGCGGTCGATCAAAAGATGAATGAGGCCAATCAATATGTCAGTCATAAGCGCGAGGATTTAGAGAAGGTAAGCGGCGTAAGCTTTTATTTTTCTCTTTGAAATTTTTGCAAATTTTGTTTAACTGCATTTTAGACCATACATGATGGCGCCGTAAGCGCACAAGAGTCTGCTGGCAACCAGGCTGCCAATCTCTTGGGCAAACTGCATCTTGGCCAGTAAGGTGGCACCGTAAGCAATTAAGCGTTAAAGGAGAGTAAGCGAGGAGAAGCATAGGAGGTGAAAGTGAGCATGTGGAAGATGACGAGCTCGAAATTTAGTTATGTAATTTGTAATATGTGGCAGTTTTTTTTAATTATTATAAATAAGTTGAAGGAAGAAATAAAAAAAAAAATTAAAAAATTTATAAAAATAAAATAAAAAATGCAACCGTAAAGCTAAATACAACAACTACATGCAGAATACACTTCAAAACAAATACACTGTTATATGTAAAGTTTGAATAATTAGAGATGGGGTGCAAAAATGAAAAAAAATATCGAAGAAAGAAATATTGGCAAAAAGTATAAAAAAAAATTAAAGATATTAAAAATAGCTTGAAAACATAGAGCGAACTGCATCAGGAATTTTTTGTGAGATTTTGAAAAAACAAAAACAACAAGCAACCAGTGCCAGTTTTGTGATTGTAACGTTGGAGGAGCGATATTTATATAAAAAAAATACTGAAAATGAAAAAAAAAATTATGAAAACTGCTTAATTAAAAATATAATTGTTACTACTAACTGGAACTGAACGGAATTCTATTTCACTGAGCTATTTATAAAGAAAAAAAAAATAAAATAAAAAACAAATGGAAAATAAAGAGTAAAATCAAAAAGAAGGAAATAAATGCTTAAATACATACACACATACCTACATACAAGCATACAACAAGCACTGCAATTTAACTAGCAATTATATAAAATTAATGAGCAAATAGCTAATAAATGGGTTTAAAAATTTTAAATGCCCAGATATGCTAAATGTCCATAAAATAAGAAATATTTAAAACTGAGGGTCAGAAAAAATAATTAAAAATAATCACAATTCAAATATTCTGCAAAACAGTTAAAAAGAGTTATATTCAAGATTTTTAGGTTTACTTTAAACAAGAACAAATATAAATAATTTAAAATTTTATAAATGGTTTAAAAATCAGAAAAAAAAATATTTTTTTGGGAATTGGAATTTCACTTAAAAATCTGTTTTCATTATTTAAAAGAAACTTGCTTTAATAATTAAAAAAAATGCTTTGATACTATTTTATTTACAAATAAATAATTGAAAAAAAGTAATAATGAAAAAATAAAAAAAAATTTTAATTAAAGCATAAATATAATTTTCCTCTCAGTGTACTAAAAGCTTCAGAAGTTAACAAAAAAGCTCGAAAACAATAATAAGTGTAAGAGAAAGCTTACAACCACAAACAACAACTCTCTGCACTCACAAAATATATTTATCTGTGTATGTCCTTTTCTACCTTCATTGCATTTATGTTTGTTTCTTACGTTATCTTTCAAATACTCTGCTAGTTTGTAGTTTATTTTGTACAATCCACTACAATTACGTATTGCTATTATAAAACAAAAATGAAAAATGAAAAATTCAATAATTAAATATGAACACAATGACCATGAAATGATATTAAAAAGCAAAAGAAAATTATATTTTAAATGTAAAATTAATTAAATATAAAAAGCCATTAATATTATTGTAAATGTGAAGAAATAAATAACAAAAAAATTAATAAAACAAAAAAAAACACAGAAAATGTATGTTTTTAAAGTTTTCAGTTCAAAGAAGTGAGGTAAGGTAAATGTTTGCTAATTTATTCTTTACTTTTTTTTAAATATTTTTAGTACGGATCCTTCATACAGCTTTAATGCGGAAAGTTGTAAAAAAATATTTTAAATCTCCGAGAGACTTAAAATTTCAAAACTAACTAAATTTTTAGTACTAAACTTTTAGTACTAAATTTATAGTACTAAAATTTAAACCTTAATTTTTAGAATTAATATTTAGTTTTAGTATAGCAGTTTAATATAAATAAGTTCAGAAGAAGCTACTAGTGCTAATTTTGCCATTTTCTATTCTCATTTCACTTTAATTAATTTCGAAGACTTCATCCATTCACTTTTAGTACACATTTTCTTTTGGCTAGTCATAAAAGAATTAAATACATATTTTTTAGCATTAATTTAAAATGTTAAATTTTAAGTGCGAAATAGTGCATAGCTTGCTTTAGTACATACTTTTACATAAACTGTTTTTAGAACCAGACACTGAGAGTTCCTTTAAGTTTCTCGGTGTCATTGCTTTTTGTAAATTCGAAATTACTTTTAGTTTGGTTTTAGTACTTAAGTTGTAGAACCATGTTTTCGCACAAATTTATGTTATTTACAATTTCTTACTTTTAGTACTAATAACTTCTGATTTAAATTTTAGTATTTACATACATATTTGCTAAGATTGTTTAGAACAAGATGTACCTTTTTTTGGATATTCTCATGTTATAGCGATTGGAGTAGTTCGTTTAATCTTAAGGTACAGTGCTTTTTCTCCTACTTTTTTCTAGAGCGCATTAAAACTTTTAGTACTAAATAGTTAGGTGAAAATACAGTTTTCATTTTAAAAAATATTTAAAAAATTAAACTGATACTTTTTATTGATTTTTCTTCATTATTAAATTTTTAACGTAACAATTTTTAGCGCTAAATAGTTTTTCAGGCGGGCTTAGTAGTTAATTTCAAAAAAAAAGTTTAAATGTTATTTTTATTATTATTATTAAATGATTTTCTTAATAGCTCTTTATTTCATATTAGGCTTTGAATAGGTAGTAGAGGCTATCGATCTTACGAGTCAGCTTAACTTAGGCTTGGCAAAGACCCATTGTGAGAAACGCTTTCACTTTTAATAAGGAGAAAATAGTTTTACCCTGTTTTAGTACTTAATTTTTAGTACACTTTTTAGCACACTTTTTCTAATGGTTCTTCGCTTATAAAAAAAGCATGTAATAAATCAAACATTTTTAGTACCATTTTTAGTACAAATTTTTAACTATCATGCAACGTTATTAAATTACTATTTTAAATTTTAAATAATTTCTTAGTAGAATTTAGTACAAAAAACTGCCAATATTTACGGGATTTCTGATTTTTTTTTTCTTGACATAACTATTTAGTTTCAAAACCAATATTGAATAAATACTTTCATTAAATGTTTTCGTAATATCTTAGTATTCAAGTCTTAGTACAATCATTTAGCACAAAATTTCTAATTTTTTTAGGCGTTTCATTGAATAAATCTTAGCGCATAATTTCAAGTACCAACATTTTTCGTAATAATTGATTGCACAGTTGATTTTAGTACTTAAACCTTTGTCCTAAAAATAGTAATTTAATTAAGACAAAAGGGTTAGTTATAACAAACCTGCACTATTTATTATAATAAACAGTTGCAGAAATATTTCAGACTTGGATCTAACAATATTAACACCCCTTCTGGCTTCCGTAAATAGCCAAACGTTGGCTCTTCTTTTCGTGCCCCCACTGTAGCTAGTGCCGGTTATAATTTCCACTGCCACTACTTTTCACTTTCACCATTTTCATTGCATACTTCTAGTTGTTATAGAATGGCTGACAGAAGCAACAAATGATACGGTTGATATAGTGGCATTGACACTTAATAATCGCTTATCAACCGTTATCTAAAATTGAAATCATATTTGTAAGGCAGTTGAGAGCTTTTATTATTAGCAGCTTTCTTTTTTTCGTTATTTTCCCATGAAAATATGCGACCAAAGGCGAAATGTGCCAATAACTGTATATAAAATTTGAAGTAAAAGGAAAATGGCAAAAGTTAAAGAATTTGATTGCATAAAAAGCAATTTCGAGTGGAGGAGGAAATAGAAAAAAACGCAATGAAAAATAAAAACTACTTTAAATTAGCGAAAGATATTGAAATTACAAAAGGACACAAATATTTTCGCATGCCATCTAAAAAAAAAAATAAAAAAAATTCAAAAGAATTTTTGAAAAGTTTAAATTTTTTTTTGCACATTTTAGACACCTTTTATTCGAAAATAATTTTCTCATTTAATAAGTCCTGCTCTCCCGGTGGTGATTTCTTTAAAATCAATTTGTCTTCTTCACCAAACACCGGAAAGCATGTTGCACTCCAATTGCATTACTCCAATCGTTTGAGCAATGAGCTGCTTTTCTCTTTTTTCATTTCTCTTCCCTCAAAACTCACCTACCGTAGCCTATATTTAGCTGTGTGAATGTGATTTAAAAACAGTTTTAAAGTATTTTGCCAAGTAGAGAAGACCCAAGTCAATGTAACTAAATACTATCTACTTACCTGTAAGCGATTGACTTTTCATCTCACTGACAGTTTAATTACTCTTCACTGTCAACTGAGAGTGTGTGTGTTTGTGTGTGGGATAAGCAATTTCCACACGCTCACTATTGATGTTATTGGTGTTCCTGTGCCACCGTTTGATGGGAAGTAAATGAGAAAAGTTTATCGTAGCACATAAGTTGAGTTAAGTATGTGAGAAGTTTAATTTTAAATAGAGATTTAGAGAGTTCATATGTGAGGAAAAGGAGATTGAGGCGTGATTGAGATTTTATTTTATATTTATACCTTTTAAGTGAGCTTAAGACAGCTCGGTAAATGAGATTTAAATAAAAAACAATTTTTTTTTATTTTTATATAATTTATTTAAACGACAGCAGACCTGGTAGAGAGCAGGTGGTAATATTCCATGCAACTATGAATGTCCCTGTAGCTGCGGAAAAAGGCTTTTGCGAAGTATCCCATCCTTCTACCATAAGTCCCCAGAGGACAAAACTCGGTTATTACGCCGCCTGTTATGCTTATGGCTTTGCTCTTTAGAAGGTCGATTGATATATTTTCCTATCCATTCCGCTCTGGGTTTTGTCGTTGAGAATGTTTTGCCTAAGCAAAAAACATTGTCCCTTCGTCTTATAGCGTTGCAGCCGCATGAAGAGCTCCCTAGAGGTCTCGTGGGAAAGGTTGAACAGAATTTCAAGACTTTTCTCAGCAGTTTAGGGTAGTGCTCCTGTCATAAGTTGCTGCTTTAATTAGCCTTGTCCGATCCTGGCGTCCAGAGATTGACTCATTGGAGTTTTTGAGTTTTTGAGCATTTTTTAGCTAAGATTATGTCTAGGAATTTATCGTAGAGTAACGCAGTTTGAAAGCAAATGGCTTGTACCTTCTGAGTGAAAAGTTCCTGTTCGGTCTTTAAACAATCTTATCGGGTAAAAGTTATTGCGATCAGTTAGTTGAAAATCTGGTGGGGTTTTCCTGTTGCTGTGAGGAAATGCTAATCAGAGTATGCACCTTCATCACAACCCGTGTTTTCTTTTGCTTGCGAGTTTTCATGTGAGACACCAAAAAAAAAAGAGAGAGCTCCCTCTCATGTGGTGCCTCTACTGGCATACCTAGTAGCGGATGCGCCTCCTAATTCAACGAGAACTGTTCTCCTTTGTGTGCGAAATTTCTCAAAATTCACTGCCTGCCCTTCAAGATCCTTTTCTGTTGTCTGTAGTACCACGGGAACGGTACCATTTAATCATGGAAATTTGCAGATTTTTTTATTTTGTTTTGCTTTTTTTAAATTATTCTATTTTTTTTAATCTTATTTAAAATTTAAGATTCCTTTTATAAAATTTATTAAATTTTAGCTATAATTCCTTTTCTAATTTTATTCCCTATTTATATTTATTTCACTATTTTTTGAACTATTTTATTATATTTTATTTCAAATTATTGTATTTTCCTTTTTTTCAATTAAT